TATCACCCATAAATTAAGTGTTAATCCCACTTGCAAGCATGTTAAGTAGAAATGAAGAAATTTTGCACCAGAACATCAGAAGGCAATCAACAAGGATGTTGGTAAACTTCTCCACGCCAAAGCAATTAGGGAGGTGGACTACCCCACCTGGTTAGCCAATGTGGTTCTTGTCAAGAAAACCAATGGCAAGTGACGACTTTGCATAGACTTCACTGATCACAATCGAGCATGTCTCAAGGACAACTTTCCCTTACCTCGGATTGACTTAATAGTGGATGCCACCGCTAGACACGAGCTCATCAGCTTCATGGATGTCTTTTCAAGCTATAATCAGATAGCGATGGATCCCGCAGACCAGGAGAAGACCTCCTTTGTGACTGAACAGGGAACATACTGTTATCGAGTCATGCCCTTCGGATTGAAGAATGCTGGAGTCACCTACTAACGCTTGGTGAATTAAATGTTCCAAAAGTAAATTGGGATATACATAGAGGCTTATATCGACGATATGTTAGTTAAATCAGTGAGCGCAGAGCTCTACGTTGCTCATCTAGCGGAGTCATTTCAGGTCCTTAAGGAATAAAATATGAGACTCAACCCTGCAAAATGTGCCTTCGAAGTATCTGCAGGAAATTTCTGGGCTTCATAGTCAACAGTAGAGGAATCGAGGCTAACCCAGAAAAGGTTAGGGCAGTCCTGGATATGCAACCACCATCCAATATACGGGAGATCCAACGCCTGATAAGAAGAATAGCTGCCTTGAGCAGCTTTGTGTCTAGATTAAGCGATAAGTGTCAACCTTTCTTCAAAGTCATAAAAAAGGCATTTCAGTGGGATGCCTAGTATGAAGAAGCATTCAAAGCTTTGAAGGTCTACCTGAACTCCCCTCCAGTTCTGGTGAGCCCTTTGGAAAGGGAAGTACTTACTCTCTATCTAGTAGTCTCAGAATTCTCAACCAGTGCAGCACTAGTAAAGGCGCAAGATAGAGCTCAACAACCAGTCTATTATTGCAGTCGAGCTCTTAGGGGGGTAGAGGAGAGATATCAAAAAATGAAGAAGCTTATCCTAGCCTTGGTGGTTACGGCCAAAAGACTTAGACTGTACTTTCAGGCTTATACAATCGAGGTACAAACAGAACAGTCGATGAAGCAAGTGCTGCATAAACCAGAGTCTTCAGGAAGGTTGGTTAAATGGGTCATAGAGCTCAGTGAGTTTGATATCAGATTCAAGCCAAGAACTGCAATCAAAGGACAAATTTTGACAGATTTCATCGCAGAGTTCGCAACAGCAACACCCATGGAAGCTGCACAGCTAGTACCTGACCTCCCCACATGGAAGCTTTTAGTGGATGGAGCTGCCAATGATCAAGGAAGCGATGCAGGCTTAATACTGACCTCTCCAAATGGAGTAGACGTTGAGTATGCCCTTAGATTTGGGTTTAAGGCTTCAAAAAATGAGGCAGAATATGAAGCTGTCATTGCTAGGATCAACCTTGCTCACTCAATGGATGCAGAGCAGTTGAAAATCTGCAGTAATTCCTAGCTAGTAGTAAAACAGATAGAGGAGTCTTTATGAAGCTAAGGGTGAGAAAATGGTCCTTTACCTCAAAAAGGTGCAAGAATTGATCAAGAAGTTCATGCAAGTTAAGGTCCAACATGTCTCAAGAGCTGAAAACTTGCGAGCAGATGCCTTGGCAAAGTTGGACACAGCCTCACAGGAAAATTTGGACAGATTGATTCCAGTAGAGCACCTACTAGAACCTTTTGTGAGCGTTGAGGATGAAGAAGTGCTGCCTGTGCAAGCCCCACTAAGCTGGATGGACCCCATCGTAGAGTATCTTCAAAATGAAACTTTGCCAGAAGATCCCAAAGAAGCTGCAAAACTAAGAACCAGGTCAGCTAGATTTTCTATTTTGCTAGGAAATTTATACAGACGAGGTTTTTCAACTCCTCTCCTTAAATGCGTGGGGGATGAAGACGCCAATTACATACTCAGAGAAATCCATGAAAGAGTCTGTGGAAACCACATCAGAGCTCGAGCTTTGGAGGGGACAACAATAAGATAGGGATACTATTGGCTGAAAATGCTTAAGGATGCTACAGATTTGGTCAAAAGATGCAAGGTCTGTCAAGTGCACGCCAATGTTTCCCATTGCCCACCAGAACTCTTGACTTTATTAATAAGCCCTTGGCCATTCCACCAATGAGTTTGGACATACTTGGACCCCTTCCTATTAGTGTGGGGCAGTGTAAATTCGTCATTATTGGGGTAGACTATTTCACCAAATGGGCGGAAGTAGAACCCCTGGCAACGATTACAAAACAAAAAATCTAGAACTTTACGTGGAAATCAATGATCTGCAGGTTTGGTATTCCCCGGGCAATCATCTCCGACAATGGAAGGCAATTCGACAATCCCAAGTTCAACAATTTCTGTGCTGAGCTCGGGATTAAGAATTATTTTTCAGCTCCAGCTCACCCTCAGTCTAATGGACAAATAGATGTCACCATTAGGACCATTAAAGCAGCCCTAAAAACTAAGATGAAAAATCTAAAGGGTAAATGGGTAGAACACCTTCTAGAAGTGTTGTGGGCTTACAGATCAACTGTCAGGTCGGCGACTCAAGAGACACCATTTCCCTTGGCCTTCGAAATTGAAGCAGTGACACCTATCGAGGTTGGGCTCCCATCCCCTAGGACTGAATTTGCAAACAATGAGAGCAATAATGAGTCCTTTCTATTGAACTTGGATCTTTTGGAAGAAAAGAGGGAAACAACTTTGCAACGAATCAAGAGTTATTAGAGGAGGACAACCAGGTACTACGACAGGAAGGTCAGACACAAAATTTTTAAGGTGGGGGATCTAGTGTTTAGAAAATTTCTGTTAGTAAGGAAAGAGCCATCTCATGAGAAATTGGGGCCTAATTGGGAAGGACCCTATATCATCTCAAAGGTGATCAGACCTGGAAATTACGAGTTACGAACAGAGGAAGGAAAAATCTTACCTCATTCTTGGAACGCAGAGCATCTTAAAAGATTTTTCCAGTAAGTCTATTCTATGATATGATTTTTCTTAAATAATAAAGCAAGCCTTTGACTCATAACTATGAGACTGCATAAAAAAGAGCTCAATAGTTGACGATGAACTCCTCAATTTATAAAACGAGCTCAATAGCTCCCGATGAACTCTTCAGTTCATAAAAAGAGCTTAATAGCTTGCAATGAATTCCTCAGTTCATAAAACGAGCTCAATAGCTTCCGATGAACGCTTCAGTTCATAAAGAGAGCTCAACAGCTCATAAAAATTGAGATGAGTTCTTTAGCTCATAAATTTTTTTTTAAAATAACGGCACATAAAGTAAGGATGGGCTCTTCAGCTTTAGCATAAGAGATGAGCTCCTCCACTCATGAAGTCGATGCAGATACTTCAAATCATAAGCATGCAACAAGGTCTAAAGCAAAGTTGCAAACAACCAGTAAAGGAGAACACTTAACCATCGAGCAAAGCAAATGTTCAAAGCAATACAGTGGAGAAAACAAAAGAAATACAAAGGAAACTCTTAGTTCTTAACATCGCTGAGGCGTCTCTTGAGCTCAGCCACCCCCTTTGGGTTGAATCTGATGTCAACCCCTGGTTTAAGCTATTTTTTGAATCGATCCATCACAGTGAGAATTTTATTTTATGGTAATGCACTCTTACGGCTCAGCACAAGAGCTCCTGAGGAAACTTCTTAGATTTCTATGGGCTGAGGTTAGCTCGTATGGCTGCATAGACCATCTGAAGTAGCTCCTTAGAGCCACCCTCCTCAAACTCAACATCTCCTTGATGAGCTGGCTAAAATTGGGTTGGTATTTCTCAGTCTTATCTTCCATCAAAGTCTCCATGTATGTAGCAACATGGCCCCCAAGGATATATTTCTATATGGACCTCAACACCGCCGAATTGAGCAGATCCTTGGTGGCACAATTTATTGGTGGACACCGCCAATAGAGGCCTGCCACCCATCTGCTCCACATAAAAGAGAATCGAGACGAGAGTCTAATGAGTTACCTCACTCGTTTTAATAAGGTGGTCCTCCAAATCGAGGAGCCCAAAGACAAAGTCACCATAACCGCCTTTCTGGGATACCTCTGCTCATCAAGTTTTCTCTTTTCAGTAATGAAGCAACCACCAAAGAGTATGCCAAAATTATTGGCAAAAGCTCAAAAATATATGAATGCTGAGAAAATTAACAGGTCTAGGCGAGGTGAATCATCTCACGGATCGCCAAAAGCTTGACCTATCTTTGCTTTGCTTTTAGGTAGGCAGCCTATGTCTCTAGCTTAGCGACTCTCTCGCGGGTCGTTAAAAACTTGGCCTCTGCTCTACTTTCAAGTATGCAACCTATCTCCAGTTTAGCGGCTCTCTCGTGGGTCACCAAAAGTTTCATCTCTGGTCTGTTATCAAGCAGGCAGCTCATATCTCCAGTTGAGCGGCTCTCTCATGGGTCGCTAAAAAATTGGCCTCTACTCTGCTCTCAAGCAGGCAGCCTATCTCCAACTTAGTGGCTCTTTCGCGTGTCACCAAAAGCTTGGCCTCTGCTCTACTCTCAAGCAGGCAGCCTATATCACCAACTAAATGGCTCTCTCACGGGTTGCCAAAAGCTTGGCCTACATCAGCTCTCCTCTCAAATAGGCAGTCTAAACCTTCAGCTTAGCGGCTCTCCCATGGGTCGTCAAAAGCTCGGTCTCAAAATGTAGCTATCTCACGAGTAATCTTCAAACTTTGTCTCTCCTTTCATGCAAACAGTCTGCCTTTCTCTACAATCCGCGGGACTACATTAGATTGAATGTCAACAATTGAGCCTCATAACTCAATGTTCATTCTCAACCACCACGCTTGGTTAGCTTAGCGTTGGCGAATCTACTCCCAGCGCGCCTGAGCCCCAGTACTATTTCACAAGAGGCACCCATCGCCAACTGCGTCTCGCCTAGCAGCATAGGCAGCTCACTAGTACCACCCTACAATATAAGTGCTTCCGCAGTAGCGTCTACCGCCATAGGCACCTCACTGCTACCACCCGACGCATGGAACATCCTCCCTATTGCCATTTGCGCCCCTCCACCAGCGCCCAATGCCATGGTCGCCCCTTGAGAAGTGCCCAGTGTCATAGACGCCCCTCCAGCTGTGCCCAACGCCATAGATGCCCATCCAGTAGTGCCCAACACCATGGGCCCCCCTCTAGCTGCGCCCAGTGCCATGGGCGCTACTCCATCAATGTCATTCCTGCGTGCCCAGCTAGAGCAGCAGCATATCTTGCGCCCAGCAGCAACCTCTCTTGCGAGTCCAACTAGCCTAGAAGCCTCTCCTATGTGCCAAACCAGCGCAGCAGCCCCTCCTGCGCGCCTTAGCAGCTCGCAGCGTAGCACCCTCTCCTGCGTGCCTAACTAGGTGCCCAACACCTTTCAAGCACCCATCATCTCTCAGGCGCCCAACACCTCTTAGGTGCTCAGCCCAGGTGCCCATCACCTCTCAGGCACTCACCAGTCGCTCAGCTTCTCAAGCGCCAGCCCCAAGGCGCCTAGCTCTCTTGCACCTTCCTCTCCTCTCCAAGTTCCAAATATAAAATTCGGAAGGTCTTGAGATGTCCTTCAAAGGTGGAATATAATAAGAAAGAAAGGAGTCGCCAACCAAAAGGAGCCTCCAAGAAATTCAAGTTCAAGAAGGGTTGATCACTATTTTGACAATAACTTTTGCTCCGTTACTCCAAACGGGGCTTATTATCTATCAAATTGAAGCTCTTGACGAGTCTTACAAGATTCATAGCCTTGGGCTATGATAGTCATTGTTAAAAGTCCAAAAAAGGCCTAAAAATATTTGTTTTGGCCTCTCGAAGTTTTTTGAGTTGTTTTTCCATGCTTGCCCATAGGAGCTCGCCCGTGGGAGCTCGCCCATAGAAGCTCGCCCATGGGTGCTCGCCCAATGGCAAGGACCTCAGTCCCTTGATGCAGCGCCTCTCCCGTGACCATAACTTTTGATCCGGTTCTCCAAATGGGACCCATAAATATATCAAATCGAAGCTCTCAACGAGCCCAGCAAGACTAATTGTCTTTGGTTGTGATAGACATTGTTAAAAGCCCAAAAAAGGCTTAGAAACATTTTGTTTGGGCCTTTTAAAGTCGTTCCAATTATGTGTTCAGTCGAAATTTAAACTCAACCGAATGCCTTATTATCCAACTACCATTGGACACAGGGCATTGGGGGGAAATGATAGGTCAAATCCAAGGGCCCAACCCATGTTGTAAGCCCAATTTAAATTAAGAGCCCAACTTAAGAGAGCTTCAACAAGTCTAGCCCAAAGCGGTCCACGTTTAGTCAAGCTCATCAGGTTCGAGGAGTTACATCAGCAAGGGAGCGTGAAGGGTCACTCAAGAGCCTCATCCTCGCTGCCTTTAAAAGAGTCAACACCTATCTTATCCTTTAATCGAATCTCATGGAGAACACTACAACTACCTCGCTCGTGGAGAAGAGATAGCCAGCTCCTCCAGAATAGACACTTAGTTACTAATAACTCGCCCCAATCTGTTATGGGACAACTATAAATTGTAAGCCCTGCCAACATTTGAAGGACATATCACACTCAATCGAGCACAGCTCTCCTCTCCCTCTCAAAGCTTATGACTCTCTATTCTCCCTACACTCTTGAAGCAATAAAATACCCAACGACCCTAACCATTCAAAGTGGACGTAGGCNAAATTGGACAATCATGTAAAGCCTCTGACAAGCAATTTCTTGATCCGATTTATTGACTAGTGTGACTTTGATATTAAATAACGGATTATGTCAATAGATTAGGTAGAAGTGTTGATATCTCTCTATACATAGGTCTCGGATTTCTCATTTAATTTATCTGATTTTGAAGTCCGAAATTTTCATGTTTTTTTATTAGGTTCTGTTGTCATNTTGTTTCAGGGTTTGTGCCATGATCATACAATCTAACAAGCCCAAAGTCTCCAAGCCGACCGTTAAAATTAGCATCTAGCAATACATTGCAGGCCTTCACATCTCTGTGAAGAACAACTTGTTCCCATTGTTGATGTAAATATAGCAGGCCAGAAACTATCCCTCTGAGAATTGNCTAGGACCAATGACCACCAGGTTGTGGTCAAGTTTTTAAAAGAAAACATTCTGTCTAGGTTTGGGATGCCTCGAGCTGTGATAAGTGATGGTGGTTTACATTTCTGTAATAGGCCATTTGCTTTATTGATGCATAAGAATGTCATAACACATATGGTGTCCATGACATATCACTCACAGACCAATGGTCAAGCTGAGTTGGCCAATAGGGAGACAAAGAACATAGTCGAGAAGACAGTTAACCCTAATTGAAANTGAGACTCTCTTCACTGCGACTTGTGCTTTGGAAGAAGGAAGTACTCCTCTATAAACTTTTCCAAAACCTCCAGCTCCAAGAAGTTCTTTCTCTTTGAAACCTTCGATTGCTTTGTAGAGATCCTTATAGGAGAATCTCTTAGGTCCATATTCCACTTCCCAATCCTCTCTTATTTCTTCATACTTTCTCTTTCTCAGAATGTAAGCAGTCCCGCATAGAGTGATGATCACAATAGATACTAAAACAATTGAGACTACCATTTCAACAACCGGTAATCCCTTTGATTTTATTGAACCAGGAACCGAAGGAAGCTTTGAGAGTTCTAGACCCTTTGCTGACCCAGTTTTGTTGAAGCTCCACCCGACAATATAGTGGTTGATTGCGTCAACTGCACCTGTTGCTGCAGAGAAACCAATATACATGGAGTGCAAGAAAATTGGAGAAAGATTGATGGAGGTTGGCAGTAGAGGTTGATTAGGTTTTGGGCTTTTGATTGGAGCTAGGGCAACTTTTATAATCTTTTTTCATCCATCATAATCGATCCAAATTTGAATTGGTTTTCCACTCGTAAGCTCCAAGCTTGTGTTTATGCCATTGGAGAAATATGACACAGGAGCTGATGCAGTTGAGGTTAAGTTGTTTACGTCGATTCCAACATGATTGCCATTAATATCGTGGAATAGAGTATTAGCAATAGTGTCAAACTCAACTACGAAGACATGGTTTGAGGAAAGGCCATTGTTAGAAGAATTGAAGAGTCCCAAATAGAGGCTTGGCGTGGCATGACTGAAGTCCATAGATGGAGAGATGCTAAAAGCAAAGCCATTGCCATTTTGAACTGACAATTCGGGAACAATGGCGAAGATAAAACAGATGGAAAATGAGTAGCTGATCAAAAGCCTACGTTGCAAAAATGTATTTCTTTGCTGATTTCTTCACCATTTTCTTCTCTAAGCTGGATTGCTGCTGGTTTTCACAACAGATTTGGGAGCTGCACATCTCACTGTTCACATGACTGTTCATGTGAACAGTAAATGCTGAAATTTGTTCTTCCTCTACTGGATGTTCTGGAGTCACTGGACTGTTCAATTGGTTCTTGCAGCTGATTTTTGCGGCTGGTTTGGGATTTTTTGGATTGCTTCAAAATATGGCTCACATGTTGCTTGCTTGTTTGTGATTGTTGGTCGTTCTACGTGCGATTCCTTGGTGCTTCTTTTTCTTTGCTAATGCATGCAATTGGCTTGCAACGGGGTTGCTTATGGGGTTGTTGCTTGCTGGTTGTTTAAGGGCAGCATTGGTCCTGCGTTTTGTCTGTTTCTATTACCAATGTATGCTTTTGTTAACATGGAAGTGTTTGTTAGCTGCAATAGACCATCGGGCCGGATTTGAGCCAGCTTATCAAGGTGAAGATTGGCTTCACGAAAGCCATTGTAAATGAACTGGTTTTGAGCTTGAGTTATGGCCAAGAGTTTGTAAAACACAGAGAGAAGTAGCATCCTGAAATGAAGAGATATAAGATCTGTAGTCTTTTTTTTAGAGAAGAAAAGGTTTCTTCTTTAAAGATAAAGTGACAATTGCTATTCCTTTGCCAAGTAATGAGTTTTCTCAATTGCTAAATGTACTACATTAATACATTTTGGAAAATGCTATTTGGTTGAAACGTTCGTATCGCTGTTGCCACTAGCCAAGCAGATTGGGAAATTAATGAAAAGCCAACCACGCAAATTGGATCAATAGCAAAAAAAAATTAAAAAAATACACAAATTGGACAATCATGTAAAGCCTCTGACAAGCAATTTCTTGATCCGATTTATTGACTAGTGTGACTTTGATATTAAATAACGGATTATGTCAATAGATTAGGTAGAAGTGTTGATATCTCTCTATACATAGGTCTCGGATTTCTCATTTAATTTATCTGATTTTGAAGTCCGAAATTTTCATGTTTTTTTATTAGGTTCTGTTGTCATATTTTTACTAGGTTTACTAACATCACTAAATGTGGGCGTTGTATTTGTACAAGAGTAATGCCTAGTTAAATTTAAAAGATTAATACAATTATACTCAATTTCTATTGGACAGCGAAATGTCTAATGCACATAGGCGGGATTTTATCATGTCTTGTTAATGTCTTTGTAGGTACCGTGTTTAAGGGTGACTCCATGAAGTGAACAGAGGAGTACTTGAGACTTACAGGAAAATGACAGCATCACCGAATATGATCCTAACAACACTAACATCCATATTGTCATTTGAAGAATGGAAAAATAACCTATATATCCATTTAGACTGCCCTAGCCTAACTATGGCTGAAATTTCCTAGGATAAAATTAAAACTATAGGTTTTTTTTTGGGTCATAAAAACTATAGGTTCAATCCATAATTTTCCGTATAAGGCCAAGATGAAATTTATAGTAATGAGTAGGTGCTATACTAAAAAATTATGACTATATAAGGTTCAAAATTTTGATATCGAATCTAAAGGACAAAATTTTGGATGGAACCTAGCTCAACTTCACTGGGTGGTAAGATGAAATGTTTGAATTATAACTTGGTCTAATTTAATCGTAATATTTTATGTGAGAATGAAAAATCAACGATCCTGTTAATGACATTACTTTCGATATCTTTCTTGATCATCGCTTTGAAAAGAAGGTCTTGACGAATCCGACGAAAAGAGCAAGTATGGCAAGTTATTGACAAGGCAAATAATTGCAGTGCTGATAGTGATTGCCAACAAATTATAAGTAGCTGGGTTTTTAACTCATGAACGATGGGTTGAATTGCCCACATGGGTTGGACACAAACCCAACAAATAACAACGGACTACATCAAAATATTAGGTAGAGACGTTGATATCTAACAATAAAGAGTAATTTGGAAATCGGTTTAAAAATTTAGACTTATTTGAGCAAAATTACATTAAAGAAATTTATTTGGCCCTAAGTGTATTTCTTTTAAAAAAAAAAGACCAAAATGTCATTTATTATTCCATTACTCTCTCTCTCTCTTCCTTTCTCTCACTCTATCTTCCCTATTTTCTCTCTATCTAT